TTTTTTTTGAGTCAGAGTCTCACTCTGTCGCCCAGACTGGAGTGCAGTGGCCGCTCCCGGTCACCGCAGCCTCGACCTTCTGGGCTCCGGTGATCCTTCTGCCTCAGCCTTCCAAGGAGCTGGAACTACAGGTGTAGTTTTTTTTTTAATTGTAGAGATGAGATCTAGCCAAGTTGCCTGGGCGGGTCTCGAACCCGCGGGCTCAGGCAATCCACTCACCTCAGCCTCCCAAAGATAGAGAATTTTTAAAATGTGTTTTCCTTTGCAGTGTGTGTGTTTGGCAGTTGGATATCCAGTTGTTCATGCACCATGTTAAGACGTTGCTGCTTTTTCATTTTTGTCAGGTAGGAGGAGTGTCTATTCTGTTCCATTGATCTGTTTATCTATCTTGATGCCAAAACTACTCTTTTTTTTTTTTTGAGTCGAGGTCTAATTGTGAGACCAGGTTGGAGTGCAGTGGCACCATCACGGCTCACGAAAGCCTCGACTTCCTAGGCTCAGGCGATCCTTCCTCCTCAGCCTCTCGAATAGCTGACTACAGACTCATGCCGCCATGCCCAGCTAATTTTATTTAGTTAAGTTAAAAGACAAGGTGAATTAATTGATTTAGAAGACAAGGTTAATTTTATTTATTCATGTTAAAGACGCGGTCTTGCTATGTTGCCCCGGGTTCAAACGATCCTCCCTCCCCGGTCTCCCACAGTGCTGGGATTACAGGAATCAGCCACCGCGCGCCGGGTCTACACTTTGATTACCGTAACTGACAGCCCTTATCTTCGGGCACAAAGCATGCATTCAATAAAAACGTGAACGAAACAACTTGGTGAGACCTCTTCTCTACAAGAAATCAAAAAATGAGCCGGGCGTGGGGGCGCGCGCCTGCGGTTCCAGCTGCTCGGAAGGCTGAGGCAGAAGGATCGCCCGAGCCCAGCAGGTCGAGGCTGCGGCGGCCGTGAGCGTGCCACTGCACCCTAGCCTGGGCGACAGAGTGAGACTCCCACTCAACAGAAAACAAAACGTGAATGAGAGTCTGAAAGGATGGGTCGCCCGCCGCCGCCCGCTCGCCCGGACGCCTTGTGTGGATTCCGACTGAGTCGAGCGCAGCCCAGGCCTTTGCGTCAGACTTTGAAACCGCCGCGGCGGAACGCGTCGTAATCTCGGCCCGCGCCAGGCCAATCGGAACCCGCCCTCCAGGGTCCCGCCCCCTTCCGTTAATCGACCTTCGGCACCGGTCTCGGAAGCTGACCAATCGCCTGTGGAGCTCCGCCCTGAGACCCACCCCCTTGTGGGTCTTGGAGTAACGCTCGCCGGGCGTTGCG